TTTATAGCAATAATCTTGAGGCCCTCTGAAATACAGCGAGATAACGGCACTGCAATAATCTATTCCCATCATTTGTTGGTTTTTTTAGTTACTTAATATATTTATATTGAAAGGCAAAAAATATGCTAGCAAATAAAAAATAACGAGTAGTTTTATTATTTCTATTACTTGCAGGTTAAACATTTGTACAATATTCCAAATTATTTTCCGTTTTAGTTATTGGCAATGGAAATTGCTTAAATATTTGGAATACATTTTTTCATCTTTTCAATGCAAGAATTGGTTTTGCAGTCACATTCCTCACATATTTTCTACCATAATATTCTTGTGGATAAGGAATTAAACAAATAACCCACCGAAACAAACTGAATGCAATGCATAAATCATAGAGAAGGACAGTGTCATTTTCATCCTCTTTCAAACATTTCTCTTTAAACTTTACGATGGTGTAAAGGTCATTATACTATCGCAAATAGCTGCCGCCATATTATCATCTACTATGTAAGTACATGTTCATGTGGTACATATAGCCCTTATGAATTTACAGAATGAAATAAATTTACAAGTTATAAAATATTTAAATATAATTAAGCAATGCTGGTAAACCATAAAATCCTTTGAATTAAACAAGTTATGAATAAAATTAAATAATTATTTTTTTTAGATTGGGGTTAACTTGTTAAACACTTTAAATTTCTATTAAGAACTGAAACTATTTTAGATACTGATTTCACAGTATGTTAATTTGATTAAACGTTTTAAAAAAGAACTATATTTGTAGAAAGATCACAAGTTTAAAAGAATAATGAGTAGAGAAAGAAGATTGATTGATTCTATATTGTTTAACGTCCCTCTCGAGAATTTTTTACTCATATGAAGACGCCACCACTTGCTGGTGGAGAGCTGCAATTTTTTTCCTTTACCCGGCACTCAGGGCTATTGAGCAGGAAGGGATCTTTTTCATGCCAGCACCTACTGCGACACGTGACCTCGGTTTATACGGGATAATCCGAAGGACCGGTCTCCATGCCCCACACTGGGATTCGATCCCGCGACGTAAGGATTAACTACTTACTTTGTGACTCTAGACCTGACTTTCTACCACGGCGCCACGCGAGCGACCTAAGAAAGTAGAAGACAAATTAAAGACCAAATACCTGTTTCTGATTGGTCCTTACACGAACCATTCATACTATCACAATCTTTACAGAAGCATTTTTCTTCACACCCTCTACCATAATACCCGGGTGGACAAGTATAGAACAATCCCTTTTTCCCAAAAATTCCCAAGCAAACTAGAAGAAAAATGCATAATTGGTAAGATTAAATATACAGTAAGGTCTATGTTTGGCAGTATGGTTGTTTTGATTGTTTTGATTTATTGTTATTTCATACTTATTGAATGAGATGTCTTATATTAGTCCATAGCTTAATATTTAGAGCTTGAATACTGATCGTTATCTCCATGTATTAGGGAACACGTACACTGTACCTAGATTCTGTGGTCTAATAGTTTAGACAAGGTTGAAAGAAAAAATTGACTATAGCAAAAGAAAAATAGAATCTCCTCCCCATACTTTGATATTTCGCATTATATCATGACTTAATCAACTGAAAGTATGGTCTCTGTATGCCTGAAAGTCCTCCACTGAACGCATTTAGGGATAATTGGGGTATTCATAGATTTTCAAATTTGGCATAATTCCAAATAAAAGTTCAAATGAACAGGTTTTTCAAACATAACATATATTTTATTTTTAATTTCCTCTATTGGGAAAGTATTCTTATATACGTAAATAGTATTGAAATTGTTATCCTACTTCGTGGCATGGTTTCGTTAAAACATTCCCCTGTCGTTGCATTACATCTCTCACAGGGACATTCTTCTTGACATTTAACTCCAAAGTATCCTCCAGGACATGGCCTGCTACATTCGAGCCCAAATGAACCTACGCATGCTATATTAATAATGAACTCATTTAAAGTAGGCTTCTTTTGTTTTAACATCAAAATCGTATAAGAAATCATTGCATTAATTACGATATCTTTCTATCTGTTAAGGAATTGAAATACACGAATTTACATTATAATAACAAATCAAGTAAATTTATCATTTGATATAATTTGATAATTAAGTTTCAGGTCAAAAGCTTACGGAAACATTTCCCTCCTAAAGTTCTGTAACCATCACAACATCGCAAAATCCTTCTACATTTAAACAGTGTCATTATGTTATATTTGTTTATGCATTCATTGATTTATTTATCTATTTATCAAAATTTTCATGCATGGGTAAAAAAAAAATATATAACTCACTGGTCACTGGAAGTAAAATCCCAACACAATGGTTCTACGAATGACGTAAGTTCTCGAGTGGATTCCAAAAACATCAAAGTAAAGAAAATGACTTTAGAGTATATCATATTGAAAACAATCTTTACTAATGTTTTTCTTTACGGACAATGTGTATGATTTCCTGAATGGCACTTCTCCCAATATTACATTTTAAAAGCACTTTGAAAAAGAAATATCAAAGTATTGAAATGATAGGTCGCGAAAAAGTATGATAAGTGGGTTTATGCAATTTTTCTAATCATTTATACATGTATCACGTCTCCTTGACGTGTAATAAGTCATCCTCTTTGAACTTAATTATTTCCTTTTTTTGAAAACTCATAATTAAAATCTTATTTCTTTACCTTAAATGGATTTCAAGGAAAATAATTAAAATAATTACTCAAATAAATTTCAATTTCAATTCATTAATATCATACATGTAAAAAAAATTCGAATTTTCCTTCATTTTTTCATTTCTTAACATGGACATGCACGTTCAAATTTTCTTTGTTTACTTTATGATATACATTTGTAGGTGAATACTGAAAAAAAATTCAAGAATATTTAGTAAAAGAAATTTGAAGATGCACGCATCCATTCTTATTATTGAATTTCATATTACTTTGAACCCAATCATTCAATAAATAAAAGATTAAATCATAACATGTTTTATGAAAATAAATCTTTTTTTCACTGAAACATAAAACATCTTCAATAAATGCTAAAGTTTATCTGTGATGCAAGAAATACATGAACATATCAAACTGTATATAGCATAAGAAAGAAGCAAAATGCTACGACTGTATGTCAATCTCTCCACAACGAATGAAGAGTTTTTAAACGGGATAGATAAAAATATGAGCATATTATTTTAACAGTATGTCACTGTGATTGATAGTGTAAAACGATGGGACATAAAGCAAGATCCAAGGTAGCAAAACATCGTCAAATAATTGAAAATCAGCTTGAAATGAAGCACAATAAAAAGATTGTAACCGTGCAGTGCAATTTTTCCAACACTTTTTCTATACATAAAAAAACAAATTTTATTTATCAAAAGATGCCCTAACCTTGGGCCTTTATACTAAAGATAACAAAATACTTTTATTTAATTATTTATTCCCCTCGTCTTTCTGCAAAATTAAATTAATTGAGCACTCGATCCCGATCAAGCCGAACCCGATCCAATATGAGTTCGATCCCGATCCAGTCGACTCCGTTCTTAATACATAAAAATCAATAACAACTGCAATTTTAATTTAAATATGTCAAAAACAATGTAAAAAAGATTGTATATAAAACATTTTATGAAACATAAAATTTTATTTATTTGGCAATATAGGCCACGGCTGCATTAAACAAAAAAGGGGAGCCCAGCATCAATTCTTGAACAAATAAGGGAGCCTAGCATCAATTCTTGCCTTGGTGAGTCCCCACAAATAAACAAGCATTAGTGGTAAGCCCTGGGAACGGGATGCTCGCCTGCTTGGACAATAATTGCAAAATTCAATCAATTGTGTACCAAGTCATATATTAAGATTTTAGGTTAGTCACTACTGGTGAGCCAAATATCCACTTGGGCAATATGTTCCTCCAGGTAGGATCCGATTTCAGCCGTGACGAATTTGGGCAAGTCCTTGCTGCGGGTATGGATTAAGGCTTGATATTATCTGGAAAAGAAAACAGAACAAAACACGAGAAAGCAGCAGATGAATTCCATTAACATACTACTTTTATTAAGGGGTGAGGTTGGGGGGGTTTGGGAATTTGCAGAAACTTGATATTTTGCGCGCGACGTCACGCAGAAGGATAAAACGTACGCTCAACTGGACCTGGGGTCCCCCGCAAATAGTTCGTCATTTTGCGTAGTAATAAAACATTCTAGGAACTTCCAGGCATTAAAGGCACAAAAGTAAATTTATCGATATCAATACGGAGACCTCAGGTCACCTTATATATAAAATGAATTTTATATGATAGACAAAATGACTCCAAAATAATCATATTGATAACTATATAAAGATCAATATTCTAATAATATATATTAGCAGAAACGTGAAAGTAATAAAGGGTGACCAGAGGTAACCTCATATTGTACATCAATAGAGGGACCAAAGATCACCATACTTGTACATCAATGGGGGACCAGAGGCCACCTTATATTCAACATCATTAGGGAGACAAGTGGTCACCTAATATCGTATTGTACATCAGTAGAGAGATCAGAGATCACCTTATATTGTACATCAGTAGTAGGACCAGAGGTCAGCGTATATTGTACATCAGCAGAAGGACCAGAGATCACCTTATATTGTACGGGGACTAGTGGTCACCTGATATTGAACTGTACATCTGTAGCGGGACCAGAGGACAGCTTATATTTTACATTACTAGTAGGAGCAGAAGTCATCTTATATTGTACATCAGCAGAAGGACCTGAGGTCACCCGGTATTTTACATTAGTACGGGGACTAGTGGTCAACTAATATTGTACTGTACATCAGTAGAGGGACCAGAGGTCACCTTATATTGTATATCAGTAGGGGGACCAGAGGTCACCTTATATTGTACATCAGTAGGCTGACCAGAGTTCACCTTATATTGAACATCAGTAGGCTGACCAGAAGTCACTTTTTACTGTACATCAGTGGAGGGACCAGAAGTCAACCTTATATTTAACATCAGTAGGGGGACCAGAGGTCACCTTGAGATTGTACATCAGAACAGAGTTCACCTTATATTGAACATCAGTAGGCTGACCAGTCACTTTATATTGTACATAAGTAGGGGGGACCAGAGGTCACCTTATATTTAAAATCAGAAGGATGACCAGAGGTCATCTTATATTGTTTGGGGCTAGTGGTCACCTAATATTGTACTGTACATCAGTAGAGGGACCAGAGGTCACCTTATATTTAACATCAGAAGGATGACCAGAGGTCACCTTATATTGTACGGGTACTAGTGGTCACCTAATTTTGTACTGAACAGTAAGGGGATCAGAGGTCACCTTATATTTATCATCAGCAGTTGTACCAGGGGTCACCTTATATTGTACATCAGTACGGGGACCAGAGGTCACCCGATATTTTACATTAGTACGGAGACTAGTGGTCACCTTATATTGAACATCAATAAGGGGACCAGAGGTCACCTTATATTGTGCATTAGTAGTAGGAACAGAGGTCATCTTTTATTGTACATCAGTAGAACGACCAGAGGTCACCATATATTGTACATAAGTAGGGAGACCAGAGGTCACCTTATAATTAACATCAGTAGGAAGACCAGAAATCACCTTATAATTAACATCAGTAGGAAGACCAGAAATCACCTTATATTGTACATCAGAAGGGTATAGGTCACCTTATATTGTGCATCAGTAGGGGGACCAGAGGCTACCTTATATCGTTCATCAGTAAGGGTGACCAGAGGTCACCTTATATCTAACATCAGAAGGGGGACCAGAGGACACCTTATATTGTACATCAGTAGGAGGAACAGAGTTCACCTTATATTGAACATCAGTAGGGGGACCAGAGTTCACTTTATATTGTACATAAGTAGGGGGACCAGAAGTCACCTTATACTAAACAAGAAGGATGACCAAATGTCACATATGTACATCAGCAGGGGTACCAAGGGTCACCTTATATTGTACATCAGTAGGAGGACCAGAGGTCACCTTATATTTAACATCAGAAGAATGACCAGATTCACTTTCTTATTGAATATCAGCATGGGGACCAGGGGTCACCTTATATTAAAATTATAAGGGGACCAGAGGTCATCTCATATTTTACATTGGTAGGGGACCAGAGCCCCACTTTATATTTTCCATCAAAAGGGGGACCAGAGACCACTTTATATTTTCCATTAAAAGGGGGACCAGAGGTCACCTTATTTAACGCCAGAAGGGGGACTGAGATCACCTTATATTGTACATCAGTAAGGGGATGAGAGGTCACTTTATATTGATCATCAGCAGGGGTACCAAGGGTACCTTATATTGTACATCAGTAGGTGGACTAGAGTTCACCTCACATTGTACATTAGAAGGGGACCATGGACATCTTATATTGTACATCAGTAGGGGGACTGGGGGCCATTTTTTTAATTGTATATCAGTAGGGAGACCAGAGGTCACCTTTAATTTAACATGGGAAAGGGGGGACCAGGGTCACCGTTTTGTATATCAGTAAGGGGATCAGAGAACACTTTATATTGTACTGGCAAGGGACCAGGGGTCACCTTTATATTGTGAATCAGTAGGACCAGAGGCCACCTTATATTGTACACCAGTATGGGGACCAGTAAAGGGAATAGGGTCACCTTATATTATACATCAGTAGGAGGATTAGAGGTCACCTCATATTGTATATCAGAAGGGGGACCAGATGTCACCTTATTTTGTACCTCTTTAAGAGGATTAGAGGCCACTTTATATTGCACGTCAGTAGGGGGGCCAGAGATCACCGTATATTGTTCATCCATTGGGGGACCAGAGGACACCTGATATTGTACATGGTAGATCACCTTTTATAAGGGTCGTTTAATAAATAATGTCTTCGGTGCTCGGAAAGGAACAAAAGTCGCTTTTCAATAATTTAATTAAAATGATTTAACCTAAAATAATCTTTTCATTAAAACACATGTAAGTAACATTTTTTATCCAATTTCTGATTCATTTTCAATTGTTTTTTGAACTCATTTTTGGGTATGAACCTTTGGTGCATTGAATTATTGCAGATCCTATGATTTCCTGGACTTGTTTCTTCCTTCTGAAAGGCGATTTCACAAGTTTGTCAAATGGAACAAGTCAAAAGGCGAAAGTTTTGGCTAATATTGTTAATGTGAATGAACATTAACTTTTGTTTATCCCCAAGACTCCTTTACTCTTCAGGGCTTTCGGGTTAGGACTCTTACTGTTGATGAAAAAAATCTAATGTTGTTGATTCCTGATTCTCATTAACCTTTTAAATTTTTTTTTTGCAAAAAAAATTGCTTTTTAGAACTTTGTTGCCGCCAGGCGCATAGCGTTTTACAAACACATCTTGTTTATAATTTTTGTGAATATTGGGTG